AATGGTCGAATTGATGTTTGGTAAAGGCGCCCACAGTTACCATCTCCTCCAGCCACAGCGGGTTGTGGCCGGAGGAAGCATCACAATATCTTTGACTCTTTAAGCTAATAAGTACAGCAGGGTGTGGTGCAGTACGAGGCAAAGGCATTTTACAAAACAATGGAATATATATATAATTATTTCTTGTTGCATGACGCAAGTGTAAACATAAATTAAAACAACACGTTCAGAGTTGTGACTTTCACACCATATACTGTATATCTGGATCTGGACAGGCATGACGGTGTGTACACTCTGAGCATGTTAACATTTCAATGTAGTGACAGGCATGTCACTACATGTAGGTGTCTCTGCACACTATCAGCACCATCTGTGATTCTTATCAGCAGCAGAGTGATACACTCCTGGTCTGGGCTGGGACACAAGCCAAGGTGAGCACACTGTGGTTAAGTGGTCCATTCCTCCTTTGCTCTCTTCCATCTTTCATGGCTTTTTCATTTCAGAGTCCTTTATCGCTATGCCAAGCAGGCTCTCCGCTCCCGCATTTTTAATTAAAATCTAAAATGTGCAATAACTCTGGAGACTCCGGGCTCGCTGGCAAACATGTCCACTGGTCCTGTTTCTCCCTTCAAGCCTTTGTTGCTTTTTTCATCAAAGCCTTCCATCAAGCCTTTCCATTTGGCCAATTCTGTTCACTTCACTGCATAAATGCTTTGACATAAGCCACACAGGGTACACAGATTTACCAAGGGCACACCTTTGGAGAAAAGCTCTACGGCAAGTCAATGAACTCTCACTCTTAGACTATAGCCTAATCCATTCAAGGACCCTGAGAAAAAATCCAATCCTTAAAGTCACTCTTCTTGACTTCCCATGACTCTCTGTGGACAAAAGGCTGCTTGTGTAGACATGAACTGGATAAAGACCCCAGTGCTTTAGTTCAGTCATCTGGGTGCGGCTGCGTAGTGTTCTCACACACTCACCAGAGCTGCAATAAAAATAAAAAAAATTCCATCTCTCCTTTGGAATTACCCACAAGCCATGTGTTTTTCTACCTGGCAAAGTGGTAGGTTGTCATGTTTCACTGTGCAACAACCATGTTCTAATCTATCTCTACGATTTCTTGATGAGATTAAAACATGAGCAGGTGGCAGCGGAGCTTAATATTTTAATTACAAGGCTGCAAACATGCTCCAAGTTTTCCCACAGTGTTTTACAGCAAAGGGGGACCACCTCACCTGAAATAAAGACAGCCTCGGCTCAATTCAGAGGAAAGTGTTACACATGAACTGAAATTAGCCTGCAGCAGGCTTCTGTTCAGACCATGATGTAGCAGCAAAACTAACCGTGGCGCATATAAGGATGGTAGCAACAGAGGGCGTTCGGTCGTGGGTTAACTAAGGTGACCCCTGCATTATCATCTTTAATTGATCACGAAACAAGATGATTGGAATGTGTGTTATAAAAAAAAAAAATTGCAAGTGTAAACCAAAGAGTTCATTCCTCTCCTTTTTCTTATCATTCTATCATTATCTCCTCGCATATCAACAAGGTGAGGAGGGAGGCGGCAGTCAGGTTAGGAATTCCAGCCGATTCCCGGCCTCCTCCTTGCACAAACAGTGGGGGAAAGAAAAAAAAAAAGGAAAAAAAAGAGTTTCATGCGAGGCCTCGGCTCATTCACTGAGGGAGCAATGGAGGAGAAGTGAAGGAGGGGCGCTCAAACAGTCATCCCACATCCCACCCACCCTGAGGAGCATTCCACAGGACTGTCTGCTCGCCCATCATTAAGCAAGACCACCTGCTGGCAAATCAGAACCCCCATCATGCTCTCAACAAGCTCGGCTAACCCCATTACCAGTGAGCTTCTGGACTGCTGTACACACAAATCATAAAGAGTCGGTGGTATGTTGAGCTGTAAAATGCTGCTCATTAACATCCCACAAGGACAGCATGCACACTGGACGCACTCTGTATTAGGGACTTAAATAGATGCTGCAAAAAGGGGAAAAGAAACGGTCTTTGATGCAGCTGCTGCATGACTATGCACTGACTTCTGACTGGCACATTTCTCCCCTCTCTAAAAAAGTGAGAGATAAAAAAAAAAAAAAAAAGGAAAGAGATCAAGACAGAAGGAAGAAACAGCCCTTTGTTGCTGCTTCTCATCAGGGCCTTGAGGGAAAGACTTTGGCATCAAGTCATCAAGAGCTGAAACAAAAGCAGCTGATAAACAGAGCAAGACTGATACGATCTCCCTGTGCACTCAACACTTCTCCATCAGGAGGCTTCCTCTCTGAGAAACCCCCAACACCAAAAAACTTACAGGGAAATAATAAGAAAAAACAACACTTGTTTGAGTCTTCGTAGCGCTTTAAAAGAGTTCTGTTGAGTCTTGAGCTGCCCCCTTCATCCATTTTTACAAAACCACGACTTCATTATGACTCTGCTTGGTTCCGTTTGACACTTTATCTAACAACAGCCGACAATGGTCACGTTTCACTGAATAGTCACTGGAGGTCCAAACAAAGGAAGAGATTCTGAGCCACAGTGCACACAAGGTACATTTTAGGAGTTGTTTGGTATTTAAATTTCTAATTCCAACAAGCAGAAATGCCTGTAAGGGCTGAACTAAGTCAAGACGAGACATCACAAACAGAAAAGGGGGGTTTTAACGTCTTGGTAAAAATGGCGGACACAAATCCAGGAGCTGGTTGGCACTGCAGGTGTTTACTGAAATCCTGTGAACGCCTCTCTGGGGACAGCAGCTCTGTGGCGGATGAACGCCTGAAGCCAAGCGATCGCACCGCGGACCGAGCGGCCCTGAAGTGCCACCACCCAGCGCAGAGAGCACAGGAGGAGAAACACAACGCCCGGAGGCATCAACCTTGATCCAAATTCTAACAGATATGCCACAGCAAACACAACATCCCCCACACAGTCCATGTCCTCACATGTACGAAAGGGGAAAAAAAAGTCCTCTGTTTTTTTCCTTCATTCTACATCACTCGGCTTATTTTCTCTTATGTCTGTGCCCTGCTCAAAACTCTCAGTGGCAAGGAGCTCACACAAAGCCTTTTTTCTTCCACCTCAGACAATGCACCTCCCCACCTCACACTCTGCCAGGCATTCCTGAGTCTATCCCAGCTATCGAAAATGTCAAGAATGAAGAGAAAGCAGAGGAGGGTACAATGATTACTGCGGCAGGTAGAGTCTTGTCCCGCTGTGCTAACATCCCACAGTCTCCGGGGGCAGTAGTTGCATAGAACGGATGGGATCTGACTTGACGGTCCTAATTAAAACTCTTCACTGGGACAAACTAGACAGCTCAGTCTCTGCTTGAAGACAGCATTCAAGCAAATTATCAGGGCTCCGTATCATTCCCCAAAAACAAACTAAAGCTTTCTTTTTGGGGATGCACCTTACAGTTGTCCTAGGATGTTGCCTATTGGATGATTTGTGCTTAGAAAGCTACTGAACCTTCCCAGGAAAACGTTCAGTCCTTTAATATGTCTCATGAAAACTCTTGGTCTAACTTTTGCCTGATGGCTCCTTGAGGTATTTTCCAACCACCGTTCCCTTCGACTGTAAGGCGATATGACAAAATCAGGTTATGCGAAGTAAAACCCTCTTCAAATACAAAGCACCGAAACAAAAAGGCCACATTCTAGACAGTTTGTCAGAGCCAAGAAACTCCCCTTTCCACAACAGGGGTCCAAGAAGAAGAAAAGGGGGCTGAATAAAAAGGTTAGCAGTGCAGTGTTTCGTGCCTGGACAGACAAACAGAAGAAGTTTTATGTGTGTGCCAAACGCAACTTAACACTGCAAACAAGCTCCATCCATTGGAACATCCTGCCACCCAGAACTGTTCGGAGGAAAGTGCCCAGAATGTAGACCCTTCAACTGAAACAGCCCCAGAAAGACTTCTTCGGCAAGGTGATTCGTGCTCTGATTCATTTCCTACCGATGCTCCCTGGCCTGCACTAAGTGTTAAGATTCAAACTTTGAACGTCTGCCAACATTGTCAAGCCCCAGTAAAAGTTAAACAGCAGCAAGCCCGCTGCTCACTGGCATGGCATGGCATGGCATGGGGGGGGCGCAGGCTGCTACAGTCACGGTAGATGCTGAGATTTATTAGTCATGGCGCATGGTTGGTCTCATAACAACCTGACAAATTACTTCTCACCCAAAAAGAATTCAGAGGGATAACACTTTTTAATTAACTTGTTTCATGATGAAGTTCTGTGATGCAAACAAAGTGAATAACAAACCTTTTTTAAAAACACATCACTCACTTTCTACTTTCTCAAATTCAAAAAGCGTCTCAAAAAGAATTTCCTTGTGTGGGCAGAGCTGATCCGTTGTTCAGCGTTCTGCTTGTCACTCTCTCTGTGTAGTTAAAGAGTCCTTTTGTCTTTCTCTTACAATGAAGTTAAAATAGTGGGAACCTGTGAGTCACTTGTTAAAAAGAAAAAAATAAAGTGTTTGAACCTGTGTTGCTGTGAAGTGTTCAGGAGCTACACCTCAGACTTTAAAAAAAAAAAAAAGGCCCAGCTACACGGTGCAAAGGTGAGGAATCGTCCCTTCAGCGCTCAGGCCCTGTCCGTAAGGTGTTAGTCATACCAACCACCTCAAGGCACTGCTGGGAAGGACTGGAGCCTCACCATGGCAACAAAGCTCCTGAAATGACTCAGGTGTCCTTGTTTCACGGAGTTCGGGGAAACTTTGACGCTGTGAGCCTGAGGCTCTGTAATTTAAGCAGCCGTTGCTGCATGAAATCTGGGCTGCTTTAAGTGACTTACAAACACCGCACAGCATTCCTCACACGTAGCACCACTATCAGCACACGTCACAGCAAACGGACTTATGAACAGCAAAGAAAAGCATTGATAAGGTAACAGATGAACTGCCGTGCATGGCCATTATGGTAAGGCTTCCTTTCTTCAGACTTGGTAGGTCCATACGGGGCCTACTGGGGATCTGTGCACAGTGAACTAGCTGCTTACCTTCCACACAGTGCTCCACATCCTCCAGGTTGCGTAGGGTAATCCTCATCAGACTTGAGTTGAGCATAAGTTCATTCTTGTGTTCGGGCCCCATGGACTCTGGGGCAGGGTTGAGAAAGAATATGCGAGTGTCGCCCGTCGCCACCTGGTTGTCACAGATCCCGGGGTTACCAAAGCCACCGATCATCACCTTGTTGCCGCCATCCAGGAGAATTTCACGATTCACGTTGGACTTCCCTTTCAAGTAGCGCCACACTCTCACCTTTACAGAATAAAAATAAGCATGTTTGTGAAAACCAGAAACATACACCAGCTTTTTTATTCTTAAATATGTAAGAAGTTGCTGTTAGAGAATCAGTTGCTCCCTCTGAGCCCCACTGGGCACTGATGCTTTTTGGAGTTTCTCTGACTTCACTGTTCTCCACTGACTCCTTCTCCTTACATGAATCTCATCCAGCAGTTTTAGATACACACTTTGGAACCACTGGCGTACAGCACCTCATGCACCCACATTCACTGCATGTCAGGAAGTGCAGCTTTATGCACAGTCATGGGAAAGCATTCCTCCTTCCCCTACATGTCAGCTGGCTTTTAGCGCTTGGTGGCGGTGGTTTTTGTTTCTAGAACGAGGGCCGTGCGCCTCTAATCTACTCCATTCTCATCACCAGGAGACGGGAAGCAAGTGGGCGATGAGGAAAAAGCAGCGACAGAGCTGACCAAACACAGCTTGTTTATTTTCCACAGATTATACGGCGGCCTACCACAAGTCCATGATGGAGCAAAAGTTAGTTTCACAATGAATGGGCAAGAACTGAGGCTGAAGGGAGGGAGCTTCCTGAAGGAATATGTGCTTATTTGTGGATTAGTGGATGTTTATTTTTCTCATTCTGTGCTAATGTCTATAAATCTAAATAAAAACTTTTACGGTTTGATGTCACACATGTGACTGGAGGACACACCTTTTTAAAGCACTTGCACTCTGCTCAGAAAATGAAAGTATTTTATTGCAGATCTTTGCACACATTAAATACTTGTTGTTTTTTTTTAATCACCAAGGACACAGGTCACAAATCTGAGGTGCAATTTGTCAGCAACGCTGCAGATGACATCAAGATTCAGAATCTGAGCCCTGCAGCCACAAGTTCCTGGTTTTCAACATTTATGGCAGACATCAAGTGAGAGTTAAGAGCCAGGGGGGCCGGTGAGGGACCGGCTCCTGCTGCAACATGTTTGGGATGATTACATGGTCGGCTGGGCCTGCCCACAGCGGAGCGGCTCTGGAAGTTACAGCCCAGAAACAGCATCTATCTGTCTGTCAGTGTCACCGCCGCCAAAAGCTTCTGGATGAATGAGTTTGTAAAATGTTTTTCAGTCAAGCTGCTGATGCGTTTTGCAGCACAAGCTCGGTGCTAATGGCCTCCCCGGTACCAGCATTCTGTGGTAATGACTTGTGAGAGTTGCCCCAGCAGGTGCCTCCTCCTCCTCTCTCTCTCTGCGGTCACTTCACCAAACCACATGCAAAACACTCACCTTGCAGGAGTAGGTGTTGTGCACCGGGTCCATGTTAATTATTTCGTCCACGGTGCCGGTCAGAACTATGTTGGCTTCCTCCTCTCTGTCCTCCAAATCTTTCTCCGGGCAACTTGCGGCGCAAAGCTGCCCCAGAGCGACGAGCAGCCCGGCCAGGAGCAGCGCTGTCCGGCCGGCGCGGAGTGTCCGCTGGGAACCCATGACCGACAAAAAAAAGTTTCCTCGAATTAAAATTCCGACAACAAACTCCAAACTCGTTCGGATGCGTGTGATCGTCGTAGCGAGCCTCCTCTCCACAACTTCCCTACGCGTGTCTTTCAGCCTCGCATCTGCAGCCCGGGTTCACAATCCCTCTGTGCGCCGCCGCCGGCTGGAGACGAGGAGGGAAGGAGGAACAAGGAGGACGACGGAGGAAGGGGCAGGGATCTCTCTCTCCAGGAATGCAGCCACACTTCTGTGCTCTCCCCCTCGCTTTTTCCCCTCTCTCTCATACCACACACACACACACACACACACACACACGTCCACAGTGACGCGCCTTGATTTGCATGCGATCTGAATTGCTGATCCTCCGGTGAGGAGGTGAAGTGGGGGGGAGGCTGGAGGGGGGCTGCGCGCCGGGACGCCTGCAGGAAGTGGCTGTCCAACGCCGCCCCCAGTCGGACAGACGGTGTCTCTGCCTCTGGTCCCCATCAGCGACCTCCAGGACCCTGCAGGGATCCCCGTGCAGCATGACAGCCCCCTGACGCCGCTTAACGCACCTGGATCGTTATGTTGTTATATATTATATGTATCATGCATTGAGCAGACAGGTGCGCAGTGAGCTGCTGCAGCCTCCAAATGATCTGGGAGGTTGTACAAAGAACTGCTAGAGGTTTACACAGCAGAAGTCCTAAAGCTCACAGTCTGTTGACAATGATGAGCAGTTTGGGTTCGGCTAAATGTATATATATACAAATATTAATCTATAGAAGAGGAGTGAGTACAGCCCTGTGCAAATTCACTTACATGTGAAATGATTTCAAACTGAACCACCTCTCTATAAGTGCAACATTTTAAAGTTGATGGGTAGAATATTTCCTTTTATGAACTGAATGCATTAGAAAAGACTACATTTAAACCGCAGGCCCCAAAGCAGGATACCACTGTAACACATGTGAATGCATGTAGGAGCTTCAGCAGGAAGCAACTGAAAGGAACCTGAAAGAAAGATTAAGTTGCTTTTTCCTGATTACCATGACCTGGATGACAGAGAATCTACATCAGGGGTGTCCAATCCTGCATGTTTTAGATGTGTCCCTCTTCCAACATGCCTCATTCAAACGATCAGCTCATCATCAAGCTCTGCAGAAGCCTGATAATGATCCTGATCATTTGAATCAGGTGTGTTGGAAGAGGGAAACATCTAAAGCATGCAGGACTGGGGCCCTGGAGGACCAGGACTGGACACCCCTGATCTACATAGACGTGTGATTAACATGCATGAAACAGAGTCGCTGCCCAACAGAGGGCGCTACAGCACCACCCTCATTCAGCTACACAATAATTACAGTAATTAGAAAAATAAATCATATGCGTTGAAAATAGAGTTGCACACGGTCATGAGCTGATATGATCACAAAAGCTGCTTATTGTCGGCATTTTCTCTGTGCACAGGCCGTACCGCGCTAATATATCCAGACAAGAGCTCAGAATGGGCTACCAGCTAAAGTTATGTTAGCGAGATGGATCAAATGATTCCTTCATTAAGGTCATTTTCACTGCTGTGGCTAGCTAGTTCAAGCTCGCATATTCGCCACAATGGTGACTGTTACTATTGAGCACATCCAATGAAAACAGCCCCAGTGATCGAACAGCCATGTGCAACTGGACGCTACAGCTGAAAAGACAGATGGTGAACTCCCCCAGTGTCACATATCATTAAAGATCCCCTTATATCATAAACCTTCCCAAGTTTAAATCTGTAAATGCAACCACATGGCTATTTTTTTTAGAGCTCCTTTTTAAGAACAGACAGTGCGTAAATTTCCACTCCTCAAAAGCTGTAATTTTAACTACCCTTCTATTCCTGGGAAAATGACAGGCTTGGCTATGCGCAGTTGCTTGAGAGGATATTTGCAGAAATGTGTTCAAGTAGGACTCAGCAGTGACAGCTGAGTTAACCCAAGTAAACCCAAGTGTCTCTTGAATGACAAATGATAGTTTGTCGTTGCTTTTTGTACAAAAGCTGCTATTACAGGAGAACACACTCTCTTAACAGACTGTTCCCGTGGACAGGTACAGTGAAACACACACTATTCAAACAGAAATATCCTCCAAATCAACAAATGCTTGATATCATGATGTAAACGCGGAGCAACCAGACTGACTCTGTGGTCTTAAAGTACATTTCATTGGCTTCCATGTCAAAGTGTGCTTCATTTTATAGCAGTAATGACTAGTTTGAAGCACAAAGTGTACCCAGCTGACAAAACATTTCCACTGCAGGTTATTATGTATTATAAATTATTCTTACTGTAGCTGGTTATTGGTGTCGGACAGGAAAGAGTGCTGTAATTTGCAGACGAAACTGGTTCCTCCTTTGTTTGTGGTTTGAGTAAACAGTAACTGTAAATCAAAAACTGTAGTGCCACGGTATTTCTCCTCCAAACACTAATTACAGTATAATATGCGAAGATAGAAATGTGTCTGCAGGACAAGACAAGGCAGTTGTTTACTAGTCAGTTCACTGTGACAGCTTCATGCAAGTGCTGAGTTCACAGCTTGGTCTGCTGCCCCCCCAGTGGAAACAAACACAAAACAAAAGAGAGGAAAAGTTTAATGCAGCGGGGGAAAGATTCTTCCAGTTTTATCAAACAAAGGACATGAACTGCAAATTATGTTGTTGGATCTATTGAACTGTCTTAAGTGATCTGATCTTTGACAAACTGTGCTCAAACTTCACCATCCATCCATCATCTCTACACCT